AGTTATTTAGGCTCATCAAGAAAACTGGGATGAAAATGTCGATGCTTAGTGGAAGGATGTCTGGGATTCACTTTCAAGAGAGACAACTGGAAAGCTGAGGGAAACACCGAGAAGGTTCTATGATCATCAGATACCTAAGTGAAACTAGCCCTAGAATCTATGCAGGTCGGAGACATAATCGGGAGCACGTCGACCAGATCTACACGAACTCCACATGTTCTGGAACACACACGTGACACTAGCTATATTTCGTGATATAAAGGTGGCGTTTGACCTTTTCGACCTAGAGGTCTTATAATGGTATCACTGTGAGGAGTCCGGAGTAAATAAATCACACCATTGAAGGGTCTGTGTTCGAGCACCCATGGGCATGTCACAGCCTAAGATGAGGTATGAAATGATAAGTTATGTACGCTGAGTGGTGTCACTCTCTGCACTCTTAGTTTTTCTGAGACGTAACTACAGAGGTCTTCCTTTACTTATCTTGCTCAATCGCGATTGACTTTGTTACAGAAAACTCCTTAGTATACCTGGAGTACATGTGATGATATGCATCTGATAGTTGAGGATGCTGAAAACATGCAAACGTTCCTAGATACCTCAAACAGAAATTCGAGAATGTCCGGGATGCCTTTCTAGTCTTGATGCAAACTAACACTAATTTTTTTATCTGCATCAATACCTCGTCTAACAAAATAGAAGAAGTGGTTGAATGCACTAACAGCTTCCATTGTCGTAAATGTTGGACTCTTCCCGATGCGTCAGAAACCGAAGAAACTTCTCACGGATACTAAAGCTTCTATTAGCTTTCATCAACCTATGTCCTTTATGGCACTGTCTTTATGTCCGAGTGTCCAATAAGCACAGAGTGTACTGGTCCACCGTTCTTTATGTTCTACTATATGGTTGTGAAACGTAGCCACTAAAGGTGGTGAACGTGAGGATATTGGTGTTGAACTACTGTTGCTGTAGAAGCATTACTCGTGTATCAAACAGCCACCACTTTTGTAATACAGAAGTTAGGTGTAGTTTTAGGTAAAAGAGGTTTGTCAGTTGAAGTTCTCAACCTTCATGAACTTTATTGGCTTTGAAATGTTACGTAAGTTTACTACTGCCTACCACGATTTGCATTGTTAGCTGAATCGTGTTTGGGTTAGAGAAATGTTAAAGGTGGTCAGACTAAAACGTGGTGTCAGTATATGGAGTCTATGTCTATAGGTGTGAGGCGTGTAGAGCAGTGTAGACTGTTGGTATGCGCATGACAACCCATATCCATGACTGAAAGCTCTAGATGATTCAGTTTTGAGTCTGTTGCAGTGGCATCGCTAAAGATGCATTTTATTATGAGTTTGTCAAATTTCTGAGTTTCAGAATGAGCATACCTTTCTAAAGTTGAACTATGATCGGATTCCCTGGCCTATGGTATACACTGCACTTTAACTAGGGTTCTTCAGCATTCCTGAAACAATGGAGTATCATGAATTTACCATTGCATAAACTAAATCCTGACTATGTATGGAGAAGTTAAAGCTGCATCATACATTCAATGAAGAGCCAGTGGTGGAAATCATTAACTACGATTACATCGCCTGCTTGGCACTCATCATGATGCAAATGTCAGTGTTGTTGACACTTTCGTAATGTAACGAGTATTACATTAGACAGGGTTGTGTAGTTGAAACGCATATGTTCGTAATGCCTCATTTGTATTTCTAGCCACAGAAAACTAAAAGTCCTTGGTTGTATTGTGTTCTCTGAGCTGGGTTGTTTAATCATGGAGCTTTCATCATCTTTCTAGACGACATCATCAGCACTAAATTCAGTATGATGTGAGTTGTCAATATCTCTCCGTAAGTGATTTAGTAGCTTGGCCTGACGAAGTAGTTTGTGATTGGTTTTTTCCTTTGATTGTTGTGTCATTGACTGTATAGATTTTCCCGTTGGCTGTTCTTCTGCTTGACCTCTGACCTTTCTGTCGTTTATCATTTTTCTTATTGGTTGACAGATTAGGTCTATGTTTATACATCTATTGATTGCTGACTGACCTGAATGCCAAGCTTCTAGGAATTCTCTGATACTCTTTGTGTTTCCTCTTTCCGTCCAGAATTTTTACATTGCCGAAATAGAATGCATGTCTATAATTATCCACGTGCATTGAGATGATTGGTGAAATGTCGTGACGTTTATTAGCCAATTGGTGTTCATGTAGACGAAGGCGAAGAGGGCGACCACTTTGTCCAATGTAGTGTTGACTACAGTCATTGCAGTTGATTTTGTGAATGCTGTTCTGTTTGTCTTCTTTGGTTGTTGCATCCTTTGGTCTGCATAATAGTGTTTGGAGGGAATTTGTTGGTTGATGAGTGGCCACACCAATTCCAAGTGGTCTCAGTAATCTTGTGATGATTTCTGATATATTCTTTATGTATGGTAGGATGATGCGTTTATTGATTTCTGTGTATGACTTTGTAGTTGATGATGTACGGGATAGGCATCTTCTGATAAAGTTTCGTGGGTAGCCGTTCTTCTTTAGAATGGAAATGAAGTAATTTTCTTCGTTTTTCCGTGAAGTTGTACTGCAGTGTGCTCTCTCTTTGAAATAGAGTCTGCGCTCAACTGATTTTGTGTTGTTGGGTTGTTGCTATTGTAGTTGAGGATTTGGTCAGTGTGTGTTGACATCCTGTATACTCGGGTTTGCAGCTTTCCGGCTTTTGTCATACTGACTAAAACATCTAGGAATGGTAGTTGGTTGTTTGACTCCTCCATTGTGAATTTGATGTCATTGAAAACGTTGTTGATCAAACTGTGGGTGTTTTCTATATCATCTTTTTTAATGATAACAAAAGTGTCATCCTCATAGCGAATCTACATTTTTTGCTTAATCACAGGTGGAATGATGGTTCCCAGTCTCTGCATTACTGCTTCTACAATTAGCCCGGATATCGGTGATCCCACTAGAGTTCCTTTCATCTGTTTGTATATCTTGCCGTTGAATTGGAAGTACGTTGTCAGACAAAGGTCGATAAATTCCATCAGACTTGAGCATTTAAGTTTTGTGCGTTTTGTAAGGTTTTTATCTTCGTTGAGCAGGGGGATATAGTTTCCTTGGCCAGTTGGGGTTCGATAGAAGTGTGTGGTGCTGTGACACCAAAGGATACCATTAATTCATCGTTTTCTATGTCAATGCTTTTGATCTTTTTTAAGAATTCCGTTGGTGACTTGATGGAATGTCCACATGATTGAATGAAATGTCTCAGTTTTCTCGTAAGCTCTCTTGATATGTTGTATGTTGGAGTTCCCGGAAGTGAAACTATTGGCCGTGGAGGGATTTCTGGTTTGTGTAATTTTGGTCTGCCGTAAAACCGAGGAAAGACAGGTCCATTGGATTTCATTCGCCATTTGTCTTGCTTTGTTATTTCTTTTGCTTTGAAGAGTTTGTTCAAGGTTTTATTGGTCTGGTTGTCGAACTTTTGGATTGGGTTAGTTTCAAGTGGTTTATATACATTTTCGTCTTTGAGTAATTCCTCCGCCTTCTTGATATAGTCTTCTTTGTCCATGATTACCATAGTGCTTCCTTTGTCTGTTGGAAGTATAACGATATCTTTCCTATTTTTCAGTTTTTTAAAAATGTTTTCTGTTCTTGAGTGTTCATTTGAGCGTGATGCCTCTTCTGTCTGGTCAGTGGTACGATTGCTTGCTGTACTTCTTGTTGAATGACCTCATTTAGTCCTGATGTTTTAAGTGACGATTCTAATGCCGGAAAGAATTCTGGTTTAGAGGCATCTCTTGTGTTGTAATCCAATCCTTTTTGAAGGAGAAGTTCCTCCATCTTTGTCAGTGGTTGTTTTCATAAGTTGACAACACAGTCGTTTGTTTCCTCAGTTGTAGGTTCTTCTGATATTTTGAGCAGCTTTTTCCTGAGGACGATGAAAGCTTCACGATAAACAACCCAGCTCAGAGAACACAATACAACCAAGACCATCCACCTTAGCTACAAATATTCTCCACTATTTCAAAACTAGAAGTTCCGTTGGGGCTGTAAGTTTGCACATAAACTACTTAAACTTCAAGTATTCAGGAGCAACCAAGTTCTTAGATTGGTTACAAGTTAGATAATCAGAACATTTCTCATGTTATAAGTCAGTATCTATTATCAGTTTTGATGGTAAAATGTGGTTCATTGGCTTAGGCAATTGACTTTACTTCACCTACATCGGCCTGCGCAACCGTGCGGTACTGTAGGCTCCCACACATATCAGTCTATTAGATGAATATATATGCCTTGTTTAGTTGTATTAATTTAAACTAATAAATTTGCAGTGGTTGTGAACAAATCAACCTTCACTATGCTTTCCTTTTTTTTATGAGTCTAGTTCACAAAATGGATAACCTGACCAAAGCTGAACCCGAGACAAAAATGTACCACTACATGTTGATACACTTCAAAGAAACACAAATAGGAGATGATCTAAAAAGTAATGATATTGAAGAACAGAAAAAGTTAATGAAAGTATATGGGATATATGAATATAAGTTGATCAGTTGTGCGTAGTTTAAAGCAGTGAAAATTAATACACCAATCTCATTATAGTTGATTTTGAACCATATTACATTTAGGTTCTTCAAACCCATCTGTGTACAGGAATTCAATTTGAGCTGCACACATTGCTTGTTGTCCTTTCACTTTTTTGATAACCCTCTGCCTCGCAATCCAATTAAAGTGGATAACGGGAGTTTTTCTGGTAGCTTCTGTCTTTTTCTGCTAAATTAATAAAAGTGTTCTAAGGGATAGAGTAAATTTATACTTAAGATTGATCTATAGTTTTCATTTTCTGTACTAAATACTGTACCTTTCTCATGATAATAGTTCGGCTGATATTTCGTGGTTTGTGAAATTTCTTAATGCCTCTTTACATTGTTCTGATAGACACTGATTAACTTTCTTTGTTTTATCAGGTAAATTATTCTTGGGATTTGGATAATATGCCATATGATCATACCATATGACCACAAAAATTGCAACAGTAGCCAACTTGGCTTTTCATGCATTTCAACAGCATTCAGTACGTGTTGCACTGGGTACAGCATCGACAACTCTTAGCAATGGAGTGAATGATTGTCACCCCTATACAAATGGTAACTCTCCTGTCTACATGTCGGATAGGTCTGTTTCTCCGATTCCAACAATTAAACACAAACAACTGCCGGAATCGTTAAATCGTCTGTTATCATCTCTACAGTCGCTTACTCCTAGTGATGTTGGCTTCGATGTTCGATGGATTTCTAACTCGAATATATCTGCCGCTCCAGTTGCTTACGTACACATTATGGAGAATGAAGTATTTTCTATGGGTATTTTCATTTTGCGGCCTGGATCACGCATACCTTTACATGATCATCCAGGCATGTTTGGTGTTCTGAAGGTTTTAATTGGTTCTGTACGATGTCGTAGTTTTACTCGGTTGAAAAATGTCAAGTCAACTGATCTAGAAAACTATGAACCATCGTTATCAGTTTTTGGTGGTTCAAAATGGCAGTTAACTGATTTAATCATTGCTCGCCCACATCAAGACACGGTGTTATCACCTGATCATTCACCTAGCCTACTTTCTCCTGTTGAAGGTAATCTGCATGAGATCACTCCAGTTGATGGTCCTGCAGTATTTCTAGACATATTAGCTCCTCCATATGATCATGATCTGGGGACTAGAGAATGTCGATTTTACAAAGAAGTAATCATTCCACAAATGAATCCCAACTCTGTATCATCACAGAGTAACAGTAATGTGCATAATAATAACAGTAATAATAATAATACTAACAATAATAATAGTTATACTGAAGAGTCATCGTGGCTAGCAGATACCTCTGATTCGGGTCAAGATATTAATTGCTCAAATCAGTCAGAAAAAGAATCATTCAAATCATCAGTTGTCTACTTAATCGAAACTAATCAACCATTGGATTATTGGTGTGAATCTGCTGAGTACAATGGGCCAAGTGTAATTTAATTCCGAAAAGTTCACTTCATTGTCCTGCATACCAATATTAATATCATTCAATGTTTTGCGTGTTTATCCTCTGGTTATCCTTCTCATTGATTTATTCATTATTATGATTACTGTCGTAGCCTCATTAATTTCTCTATGGCATTTCTTTTAAATATTCACTCCTATTCAGTTCTTATTTTTCTTCCAAAGGTACCACATTCTGTGGTGCATATACTAATCTTTTGGTTGATCATAAGATACTTCATCTATCCCCTTTATCCTCCTTGGTTTTCACTTTATTTATAAAAGAAAATAAAGAATAATCATTGTATATTTGATTTATTCATATTCTCACCTCTTGATAAAATTAAATTAGTGTAGTGCTGAGTTTGTATCTGTGTATGATACACTAGTTACTGTTTGCCATCTGATTTCATCAATAGAAGTAGGAATATTCCAGTTTCTTCTTTTTCTCCTCCTCATTACCACTTTACTTTGCATACGCACAAACATTTAAAATTGTTGACTTTTAATTAGTACTATTGTTAAGGCTTTTCATTTCCCCTTCAAATGGTTATCATTTTTTTCCCCCTCTCTCTCTCTCTCCTTATTTTGCTCTTCTCTGTTCCTTTGCATTATTAGTTTAATTTTTGGTTCGATTTGAATCAATTCATTGTAATTGTTGATGATAGATATGATAGGTTAGCTGACATTAAACTTGATGGTATTAGTTCTTACCTTCATGCATATGCATATATGCACCCATCTTTGCGTACATTTGTGTAATATTTTTAAGATTAAACGAATATAAGTTGAAATACAAGGGGTAATTTCCATGCATATTGCATAACCTGTCTATAGTATACTTATTGATATGCTTGCATGTTGCACTTTATAACTATGAAGATAATCAATTCTCTTTCCTTGATGAATTGAACTACAAATCTTGTGTTGAGAAGACGTATCTTTCATGCTTGTGTCACCCATTATCAACATAATATTTGGCATTACTGCGATACGCAGCGCCTTATATCAGTACATCAAGGTAAAATAGAATGGAAATAGCATGATGAAAAGGTGTAGCAATCTATAGGATGGAAAGGATAGGATATAAAGTGAATAATAAAGATAATGTGTGGTTACATCCACCTCACTGATATCGATTGTAGGCTTAGAGTCGCCAACCATCAATTAATATCCATATTAGATTTGTTTATTTGATATAAAGCGCACAGTGATACAATATTATTTAATTGATCACGTTTCGAGCATAAATTATTACTGCTCATAATCATATCAATGTAATCACAGTTCTTTCGACATCTGATTTTATAGTCCTGTCACCTGATCTCTCTTTGTTTTTTTTGTTTTTTGATTGGTAGTAAAGTTTTCCATATCTCTGGTATAGGTGTTGCGTCATTCCTATTACATGTGTTGGGTGTGAATTCGATGAACAAAGATTCAGTAATTAATCTCTCTCTCCACCTAGCTATATTAGACTTAAGTACAGTGGTTTTGTCCCATCCTATTGTGTGGTTGTGTGTTAATGAATGTAATGCAATGGCTGAGTGTTTTTCTAGGTTATTGATCTTATTGGGGTTTGCCGTTCTATGTTTAGCTAAATTCCTATGTTCTGTTAATCTAACTGACCCCGACCGGCTAGTTAGATTAACAGAACATAGGAATTTAGCTAAACATAGAACGACAGACCCCAATAAGATCAATAACCTAGAAAAACACTCAGCCATTGCATTACATTCATTAACACACAACCACACAATAGGATGGGACAAAACCACTGTACTTAAGTCTAATATAGCTAGGTGGAGAGAGAGATTAATTACTGAATCTTTGTTCATCGAATTCACACCCAACACATGTAATAGGAATGACGCAACACCTATACCAGAGATATGGAAAACTTTACTACCAATCAAAAAACAAAAAAACAAAGAGAGATCAGGTGACAGGACTATAAAATCAGATGTCGAAAGAAGTGTGATTACATTGATATGATTATGAGCAGTAATAATTTATGCTCGAAACGTAATCAATTAAATAATATTGTATCACTGTGCGCTTTATATCAAATAAACAAATCTAATATGGAACTACATTCTACCACAGTGCCCAAGTTTTTCACTTATATCAATTAATATCACTGTAAAACTTTAGTACTGTGATAGGATGTAATTCTTCATTAGATTTGCTTGTTCGATTATGATACAGAGTGATACGATGTTATTTTATTTGATGATGTTTCGAGGATAAATTATTGCTCATGATCATATCAATGTAACCACATAACTTTTGACCTCTGATTTTCGTAGTCCTACTACCTCGTATTTTTTGTTTTTAGTGGTAGTAGATTGCTTTTCATATCTCCATATAATTTTTGCTTTCATTCTTATCACATACGCAGAGCGTTAATTTGGATTAAACAAGGCTTGGTAATCAATCTCTCCATCTAACTACATTGGATTTAAGTGCATGTGTGTTTACCCCACCGTTTTGTATGGCTGTGTATCTGTGCATGTATTGTAACAAACAATTTTTTTTCTGGATTATTGATCTTAGGGGAGTCTACTATTTCCTCGTAGAGCATCCCGTTTCAACGAGCTAATATTGATGTCTTGGCCAACAGCTGACTTGTTTGTTATTGCCATAAATTTGATTGTACAGTCACTGAAGGTGATTCATCGTAAAGAAAAGTTACTTTGATGAATTACTTTGCGCTAGTTTTAATGTATCAATGGGGTTCTTTTCTGATCCTCTTACTTTTGGCTATATTCTTATGCTCCGATAATCTAACTGACCTCGATCGACTAATTGGACCTATGTATTTAACCTCACAGTCGTTGGATTATTTTCGGTGTATCAAATCACCTATTTTAATTGATTCGTTGGAATCCTTAAACCGACATCTGGTTAAGTTTCTAGGTTTGAATGCTACCCTAACTTCCAGCCCTGTTAAGAATTCTACGTAGCATTTCTGATGTTGCCTCTTTATATAGTGGCGCAATAAAAGCTTTGAACTCTTTTCTACTCGTGTTATCGTTACTATTCATATTACTATTGTTACTTCTTTTGTTAGTTGTTAGTAAGAAATTCTTTATGGACTCTAGAGGATAGTTATTGATTAGAAGTGTCTCTTTTATATATTTCAATTCCTTATTTAAGTCCTTGGATTCACTGGTGAGTTTCCCAGCTCTATTATTTATACACTTTACCAAACGCAATTTAACTGATATTTGATGAGAGGACTTGAAGCTTAGACACCTACTAGAGTGTGTTGGTTTGCTGTTGATGGTAGTATCCAAGCCACCGCCTGTTACATCGTTTTACTGTGCAATCCAGTATAGCTAATTCTCTTTGTTCATTCTCTAGTGCGTATGGGAATCAGATCACACTTGCTACTGAGTTTATGTATGTGAGAAAACTGTCGATATGTTCAAATCTCAACACTAAATGTTCCATCCGCATTTCGCCACCATATCTCAGGGGTTGGATTAAAGTTCCATGAAGCTGTATGTTCCCAACTGTCCGTAAATCTCTCTCTTACGACTGGGGATTATTGGCGATTCTATCACTAGTCTTTCTGTTTGTTTATACATTTTGTCCCAAAACTTGACAACTGTGCGGATCAGAAACAACTACAAGCCTAACGTGATCTCATCAACTGATACCTTAGTTCTGTAAGTTCTGAGTTAATATCAAGCTGATTTTTGACTGCTGCCGGTGTCATTATTTGGTATCTAAGTATAAAGGCTTGTGATATCGTAACATACCATTTTTTCGTTGCCTGTATGCAGGTTACTGAGTCTTAGTTTCAGTTCATAGGAATTGACTAGTTCGGAATTTTAAGGGTTTCCAATATTACGTAACGTCGATGCTTGGGAAGTTCACATATTGGAGTATTTATTAAGTCAACTACTTTTCTAATGGGATAAACTGCTTTATGAATACCGCAAATTCTATTATTGTTACGTTTAGGCATTAAATTAAACCATTTAGATTAACCCAGAGATACCTTCAATCGGCATATCAAATCATGTGCATAACTAAAATTGATTCCGAGCCATACCACCTGGAGCTTCCAACCATCGACTTTGGTTATCATATGGACCCGTACCAGGGAGCCTACATTTGCTTACATGGCTCAGACCTAGTTAGAGGCTTCATAGGCTGTTGGTATGTTGCAGACTAGTTGCGTCTAACATTTTTCCAGCCTGAATTTACTTCAGCTAAAATTGTGCTACATACCAGACTGTGATTAGGTATACGTAATATATATCTCAGCCATTTGAATTGATGGCTCATTGGTCTAGACATTGAACCTCCACCTGACTCGTCGTGCATTGGAACCGTGCTGTAATAACTGAGGTATGGGCAGGCCGGTTGTATTATAAGCCCTCACAGAACAGGCCTGACTCATCGTTTGCACGAACGTGTGCTTGGTTGCATAGTCGATCTTGATTCTACGTTTCTCCTTTGACCGACACTCTACACCTGACTTCAGAGTTAATGATGACATGGCACCACGATGCACAGCCCGTACGCCGAAGACAACAGTGGTTGAACACCTAAGGCTTCTTCATACCCTCCACCTATAATAGCCATACTTCACAGTCATATAGTAGAGTGGTACTAACTGCAGTTCTAAACAGACAGTCGGATATCATAGTAGTATCATAAATTATGTAAGCTGGCGAATGCTACTGGAGTCTTTTATATCCATACAAGACGTTTATCGCTGAATAACGCACCTGGGGAAGTCTAACATCCAAGATAAGGAAAGTTGTCAATGTGCTCAACCACTTTTATGTATGCGATTGCAGACTAATCATCAGGCAGCAACACACTCGGTGTCTTATTGTAGTTTCCACTACGATCACGGTTTTTCACATATAAAATATTCAGTGTCTCATTGGTTTAAGCATTCGTGTTGTTTCAGTTTTGATTAATGTGTATTCATGCCTCTGTTGGCCATTAAAAATGTGGTAGTTGTTTAGCATACTGAC